ATGAGACAGTGGACTGGGGGAGATCTGGAGGCCCAGTTGTGCAGTTATAGGAGAGGGAGGCTGGAAGTAGGCTTGGCTGCAAGCGTGTAGTTCCTGTTGTCAGGTGTTGTGTTACATCCCTTCAGGTTACCGCGTCTTACACTCACTCATACCGGCAATGTATTTATTTTTGTGTTTTAGCTGTTTAATGCATTATTTTTTGTGTCATTACACCTTATTGTCGATTATTTTTTTCAGTGGTACATTCATTCTTTTTTTGAATAATTAAAATACTTAATCAACCCATTATTTGTTTCTTTAGTGTCCTTCTGTTTATTGTGTTGGTTGTAGTCTGTAGGAGTGCTGGATTTTTCTTTCTTTGGGGGATTTTGTGTTTTGGTTTGGTCATTGAACAACGTTAGAAAAAGAACACATTCTTTCTCTAATCTAACCATTCAAATAGCTTTTTTATTGCACAGTTTTTGTCAGGAGGGGCCTCAATACAATGGAGGTCTGTTGGATTATCAAGAGTAACCAGGCTTGTGTCTGGAAAACCTGCTATTTGAAATGGTTTAAAAGTCATTTCGCAACTATTTTGCCTTGCACTGGTGGAGTGATTCATGTTTTTTACATTATATAAAAAAAAATACCACTACTCTTATTGGTCTTTATATTTTGCACAAAGCATGGATTTTTTAATTTTAAATTTGACCAGAATTTTGGCATGGAATTTGATTTCTTTAGTCTTCTTGCATATCTCTAGATTCTTCTATTCGGCATGTATGTATGTAACTATTATGCTAACATTTCCCTTTAATTTTATCAGGGTGTCTTATCCCGGTTGTTGGGTTGTCTCTATGGGGTCTCTCTCTATGTGTTAATTTCACTTATGTATTTGGGGGCCTAGAAGGTTGGCCCATTAGATAATATATAGGAATAACTATTTTGTTCATGTGTTTCACACTATTCACTGATTAATATGACTATATCTACAGTAGAGACAGCATAATGAAAACTGTGCCTTGGAGGTGTATCAGGTTATGGGTCCTTGACATCAAAAAGGTTGCAAAAGCTCTACCTTACAATAACAGCTTCAAAATGCATTATGATGCTCACTGAGTTGGTAATAAGGGGGGTGAATTGGCTTGCCTCTGGTCATCCACTTTGGACCACATACGCCTCTTCTTGCACTATGTGACTTTTGGATCCTGGTTGGGAAACAAGTCTTACACTGAAGCTACTAGCGTCACCAACTGATGTCAGTGATTTTTGGCTGAAACCTAGATCATATTTTTAGGGAGAAATGTTTTCTGGCTTTTCCCTCTGATCTGATGTCTTCTGGCTGCTCTGCCTCAGCCCTCTGATTCACATGGATAATGGAAAATTCCACTCAGGTCGGTTTTATTTGTATTGCACCAAATCATACCAGAAGATTGTTGAGACACTTTTCAAATAAAGCAGTACTCTTTATACATTTATTTACAGAGACAGAGACAACAGTTCCCACCATGAGCAAGCAAAGAAAAACTTCCTTTTAACAGGCAGAATCCTTGAGCAGACCCAGCCTTTAGGTGGGCGGCTGTCTGCCTCGACCGGACAGAAAGCTTCACTTGTTGCTAAAGTAGGTTAAACACTAACCTAGTTAGCTCAGTTAGCTGTGCTGCCTTGTGTTTGCACTTCTAGCACAGGAGCCTTGGACCACCGGGAGGCGGAGGTTTTTTAGGCCTCAGGAGCAGCAGGAAGGGCACCAGTGCAGAGGACTGCGATGGGATTGGAAATCTCACAGGTGCAAGCAGTTTTGACTTTGCTGTGGGTGGGAGCTAGTGGTCAAAAAAAAAGATTTATCTTGCGCCCACAAGAAGGATGGAAAAATGTCAACAAATCAAGTTGGAAACAAAGTTACAAAACAACAGCAAATCAAGGCAGGCGTGAATGATCAGAGTGTTTGTGGGTGCGGGCATGTTTGGACACAAACATTGAGGGATCGGGCAGTAATGGTTAGAAATCCACCGGGATCGGGATTAAGAAAACAGTCCTGTGTAGGGTTCTACACCAGTGCTTTCCCCAGCCTCACCTGCTTCCTGTCTATCAGGAAGAAGTTGATCCATTTACAGATGGAGGTGGACACAGGCAGTTGGATCAGGAGGTGGGGATCAAGTCGCCAACGCTGTGTTCAGTGGACGACCCGGTCTGCCTCCTGATTTACAGCTGCTTTTAAAGTGTCTTTCTTTCTGAGCAAAGTGATAACCGTTTAATTATTTTGTAATGCTTCTTTTGTCAGAGATGGCTACCAGAAACTGAGTGAGGATTTCCAATTCAACCTCGCCATCTTAGACGAACGAGACAGAGAGCTGGAGAGATACGATGTCATCACTGCCAGAGCTGTAAATGCGGAGTGCCACAGGTACAATTCATCCCTCTTTAGAGCCTCTTCAGTTCAGATTCACAGAAGGTATAGTTTCTGTGTGACGTTTAGATTACATTGAAATAAAAAGTAAGGAAATACTTCAAAATCTAAAATGTAAAAGTCATTGTGAGTCGTGTATTCAGAGTAAGTGCTTTACAGCAAAATAAAAATATACTTAAATTGTGCATGCATTTATTGTCCCCTCATCGGAATCACAAATGAAAGACAAACAACAAAACATGAAACTTCTTCACACAGTCAGATTGTTTTCTACTTGAGATAGCAGGAAGAGGTGGAGTTAGGTGTCCTTTCACTCTATTGGTTGCATGTTTATGCCTCCGCACCAGCAATAGCCATGCCTGGAGGAATTACGTTTTCGGGTTGTCAGTCTATCCTATTCTTGTGAACTTGATATCTTAGGAACGTCTTAAGGGAATTTCTTCTATCTTGGCACAAAGGTCCACTTGGACTCAATGAACTGGTTGTTGAATTGATGACCATATTTAACAACTGGTCGCGCAATATATTGGTCAATCATAATGTCCTGGTAAAACACTTTTGCCCATTGTTCAACACCTTCACTAAGGAACAGAAGGGGAAATTGCAGTTGGTCAGACACTGAATTGGTGACATGTTCTCAAAGGTCAAAGGCCATTATGACCTCAAAATCGTTTTTTGGCCATATTTTAAGAATGAATTGGCTGATTCCAGATTTCACACACGTTGACAGAATGACACAATGAGTAAGAAATCTCATCCTTCACTTCCTGCCTCATTCTGAATTTTGAGCATCATTGGAATCATGTGACTGCAAACATTATATTGGAGCGTGCCTGGCTTATGGTGATCCTGTGAGTTTCACTTACAGTTCATAGAGAGCTGTCACATCTAAATATTCCCAGAGAAATAAAAGCACCACATTTTGTATAACTATGTTGTATAAGATCTGTCTTTACATAGTAATCAAATACAGGTGTACCTGTTTAGCCAATACATCTATGATCGTCCTTAATTTATCTGTTCAAACATTCACTGAAATCATACGTATCATCAACATAGTGATAATGTCCATTTAGAAAAAAAAATACATGTTATACCTTTTATTCAGTTGCTACCAAGTCTTCCCCACATAGGTCACTGTGTTAGGGGGATTCTTGTTAGGAGCAAGGTTAGTCTTGTTAAAGGACATTTTTTTCTGTTATAGTAGAATTACTTGATGCTGAGATGTGTAGATCATAGCATTGTGGATGTGAGATTAACTGTTGTGCTGAGTTGGTGAGAGTTCTGTGTGAAGAATTTTGAAATAGTGAATTCAGTATGGACAAATGCAGGTAACTATTAACAAGCTTTTTATTTATTCAGTTTTATATTGTTTTAGTTCTTTTTGCTTGGAAAGTGTCCTTGGTTTAATGTGAAATGCACTTCATTCATCTTTTTTTATTGATAAATTATCAGATTTCCTGATACATTTTCTGTTCACTGACACATTGATAAATATACAGATCATTTATTTCATCTCTTCCTTTGTTGATTTCACGGAGTACAGTTGGTTAATTGTTCTCATACACCTCGACATGGAATAAAGCACTGTGCTGATAAGATGACGCAGGGTGACTTTGTGGAACCGGAGTTCACCTTGTTAATACATTATATTAAATCCATAGTCTGGGCACAAGGAGAACAGTAATGGCCCCTGCAGACACAATGACTGTCTCCATCGACTAATACTAAAATACAGCTGTCGTTTGCAGGCAGGAAGAACTGAACCAGCTCCACATGCAGGTTGCCAAGCTGGAGGAGCAGAGAGCCAAAGAGACTGAGGAGAGGCAGGAGGAGCAATGTAAAAGTCAGCACAGTGCTGCTCAGCACAGGCTGCAGCTGGATCAGCTCAAGTGGTAAGTCAGGAGGAAGAAACTGAGAATAAGAAACAAAAACATGCAAAAGAACAATTACAGCAGTGATTAGTGTGAGCCCATTCTGAATTTACAATTGTAATATTGAAATGTGAGAGTAAGGAGAGTGAACCCACCACACAGTAACAAATTAATGCCATAGTCATATCCAGTGTTTTTATTGTTTTAAATTAAACAACTAGTGCAGTAGTTGGGGGGCGTGCCCATTCAGAGTGGGGCAATATCACACTGCACTATGCCACAGAACCGCTCATCTGATCGACTTCATACTCACTGTCCTAGCAAGACACCAAGTGTGAAGTTGGCCGGATGAACAGTTTTCGAGATATGATGCAGTCTGACATACACACATACAGACAGGCAGACAGAGATTACTTTCTTACCAGTTGGATGAGGCTGCAACAGCGCCATCTATTGCCAAATGGACCAATTTTGTCATGGTCACTCAGGAGTCATATCTACCACCAAGTGTGGTTGCAATAACTCAAAGCATTTAGGAGATTGGACATTAATGACATATGACATAATATAAAAATACAGTATTTGAGCAAACTACAGCCAGCTATGGCAAAACTATATGGATAATCAAAAAGCAAAACATTTGTAGGAGTAGAGAAAAAAACATTTGGACAAAAATCTAAATGGCCCCAAATCGATCCAGACATAAATGGCTTATATGGACAGTTTGGTCTGCACCCACAGAATCCAGGACCAAAATGTAAAGTTTGTTGTTATTGTGCTACCATCTGGTCGAAACCTACAATGGAAGGACAGTGAAAAACAGACAACATAAACAACGTTGGAGGCATAGCTTGCTGCAGACACGAGTAGGGCCTCCCATCAGGTGAACCCAGGTCTGCTGGATGTTTGGAAGACACAATTTAACCCCTGGGAATAAGCCATGAGTTTGACAAATGCTTTGATATCTAACGCAGGTTTGGATGGAAATACTATAGGTAGTTCGCTAGTTAGAAAATATGTAATATAATTGACCCTTCCTAAGTCCCACCCCTTTTTTCTCTGTGCTCCAATAACAGTTGAGTAAACCTCGGCCAGAAGCTCCGTCAGCTAGCTACTTATAGTTACATTGTGTATTATTATATTAATATAAGATACGTATTTAGGCTCTTTTATATTTCTATTTTTATTTTTTACTTATGTATATATCTATTTGTATGTATGTATGTATGTATGTGTGTATATATACATTTTATACATTTTCTATTTCTATATATATATTTTGTAATATAATTAATATTTCTATTCTTTAACATTGTGTGAGCACCTTGAGCAACTTTAACAAACAAATTTCCCCCCAGGGATCAATAAAGTATTAGCTAGCTACCTAGTTAGCTAGTGTTTTGCTAACATTAGCTAACTTAAGATAAGATAGTTAATTCTCACAGTTTTCAGTATTTCAACATTCCAAATTCTGTTAACGCCATTTCCCCCTGATGATCATCTTATTTTAAAATGATAGCATAATTTGTCTGTCATGCCAGACTATTCACAATTTATTCAGTGTATTATTTATTAATTTCATGTTGAACACTTTGGGGCGGCACACCTCCATTGCCACTGTTACATCCTCCGATAAAGCCTTGTTCATTCTTTCTAAATTGATGGTGAGGACTTAAGGTTATTGTGCACTTGTCATTGGGGCAATTGGAGTATCGCCCACCTGAAATCTGCATGTCTAGATCCCACGGTGGGTGGGTGTGGGAGAAAACATAATGTGGTTGAACTGACCCGGTATTTAGACAGTGATAACAGATGAATGTTGACTGGGTTGGAATAATTGTTGGAAGCTGTGCCTTCAGTGTCAACTCAGTTACAGACGATAATTTATCAGTTGATAATTATAATCATTTATTTTGAATTTGTATGCAAAACATTTAATAGGCTTTATGTTCTATGAAAGCTAAAATATTTTTTTTGATGAACTTTATCGAAAAAATAAATGAACATTTGAAGAAAATAGTGATGTCTGTTAGTTTTGGCTAGCTCAGAGAAATGGAATATTGAATACACCTTAGCCTTTCTTAGCCTCAGGTGTATGAGTATGAACTTCTTTTTAAAATACAAAAATGTGAAATTATCAGTTATCTTCTCAGTGACACCCAACTATGGGTTATTGTATCGTCTGAACAAATATCCATATGGGGCATCCCTACTTAATATTTTTTTACTTAATCTGTGGTACGGTACTCTAACACTCTCTCCCCCTCTCTTTCTGTGTGTGTGTGTGTGTGTGTTTTTATATGGCTTGATGGTAGCTCCATGGCTGGTGAAATTCAAAGGCAAACGGAGGAGTATGAGAGGATGAAATGGGATTTGCAGCACAAGATACAAGAGCTAGAAGGAGAGCTGACCCTACAGAGACAGGTGAACACACACACTTTTATTCCTCTGAAGGTGTGAAGTTGTTTTGTCCGATGTCTTTATATAATGTGTGACATGTTAATATCTATTGTTGACTGTTGTGAATAAAACCAGTATGGCCTCTGCTAGCTGCGCCCAAAATAAAGAATATATTAATAGGACACAGTGTAAAGCACATTGAGCTACTGACACATATGCGCAGCTGTGCTACAAAGTAAATCTGCACAGTAAAATGTACTACGTCTTGTGTTACCACCCCCCTCTTAGCACTGTCCCATGGCTGGTAGAGGTCTGCAACCAGATGCAGACCTTTAGGATGAACCCAGACAAAAGAGCACTCAATCTCTGACTCTGACTGCTGTCCGTTACACTGAATTGGCCGGCTTTGTTATCATGCACACGGTGCATGTCCAAGTGTGTGTATGTTTGTATCCCCACCTACTGCAGTCTGTCAGGTAAGATGAGCAGGTGCTAACACTAACTGATAAATGATATGAGAGGATGAAACATGTAGGCTAGTGTTGGCTCTGGGTATCTTCTGTATTTGACACTCATCAAGTAAAAGAATCATTATCACCCTCCCCTTGCTATATACTTTATGCAAATCAGGGGCACCCAGCAGCACAACTGAGAGTATGTAAAACAATATAAATAAAGACAGACTCAGTATCTATGGCATATTTCTCACTTAAATGTTTCCAGAAAAACATTTCGGTGAAATATTTTTGTAATATCAAACAAAGTTTTCAAACGGCCTGTTATGTTAGTCCATTTTGAAATCCTGGAGCAGCAAGTGTCCAATCAGGTTCAGGCAGGAAGTGTTTGCGTGGTTGTAGGAGGATGTAGCCTTTTGTGACTACAAGTGTCCAATGCTGGGAAGCGTTACGACCCCTCACATCCAACCATCATGTTACTATAAGGTAACTAAAACACAATGATTCTTATTTCCAGGTGATTATACACTAATGAAAACATGCTTATGAATATTATATTCCATTTCTGACAATAGATCCTCCTAAATGTTACACACTGGACCTTTAGCTGTATCAATGTAGAAAATAAGAAATTATTATATATAATATATATAATGCCAGTCTAACAAAATAAGGAATGGTATGTAAGCTTTTTCATCATTAATCTAACCTAAATAAACCTGATACTACATTTTAGAAAATGTGTATGGACTTATCTTCAATTAATGTTCAAACCTTGTGTCTTTTTAGAAGAATATTATAATTACACAGTGATTCAAAATCTGAGGAGTGTTTTTATTTTCTGAGCTGGACACTGTTTACAGAGGTTAAAGTCAGCAAATCAAAGTCAAACTGTAAAACCTTTTGTGGGCAATAGTTGGATTTTACAAAAAAAATAAGTGAGGGGCACACGGGTTAATCTCAGGTTTTCAGTGTTCATCAAGACTTCACTCCTCTTGCTCTCTGTCTTTCTTTACTTTGTATCCACCATCCTTCAGCCCTAAAGAAATTCATTCTACTTGAATAGCTTTCTTGTCGACAAATAAACTGCTTTCTGCTTTTTCAGATGTAAGACTACTATTTCTTATGCATTGTGATTCCTCCTGACAGAAAGAGGATTTATACTTTCTCTGTTTGTCTTAATTTCCAACAGCCTTCACTCAATCCACTATCTGCTATTGCTTTGTAAATGCTGAACAATGTTTAGAGCAGTGATCTCTTCTTTATTTGTGCTGTAATTTAAGTTTGCACTGTATAGCAACCAAGCTGCTTGAATTGGCACCACACATACAAAGTGGAGGCTAGTAGTGATTTTTGTTTTTGTTTAGTTATAGCAGCTATGCATACATCTCACAATAAATGTAATAATGTTATTCTAAACACAATATCTGTAATCACTCTTCTGGCCAACAGGAGATGACGGCAGCTTTCGACAGAGAGTTTAGACAGCAGGAACATAAGTTCAACTTGAAAATGGATGAGATGCGCGCTGTGGTGCTGTCTCATGATCTCAAGGTGAGGAGAGTAAAAGGTAATCTGACTACGCCAGGTGGTTTGATACACAGAACCATCTGGGAAGTCGTAGTTGGAAACTTTCAAAAAATACTCCGCAGCTGATTGAAGGAAACTTCAATCCAACTCCAATCAGATAAACAAAACTACAACGTAGTCAAACTCTTAATGAGAAAAGAGAGAGAGAAAGAAAAAGAGAGAGAGAAAAGAGGTAACGACAGAAGGACAGAGACAATGGTGCACAGCAACAACAGTA